GTGGCCAGGGAGCAAAGGGGGGTGGATCTGCCGGGGTTGGGTTTCCAGACCTGGCTCCTTGGCTCGAGGCTGCATCTTAGTTTGTAATGAAAAGGGGAAACGCAGGCTAATGAACAGGCTGAGGAAGCACTGGCTTAATAGGATTGTGTGTGCTTTTCAGAGGGCTCAGCCGAATGGAAGGCAAGAATAGCTCCCAGCTCAAGAGATGCACTTAGGGGGATACTTTCAGTCCGATGTGCGGGGAAGTTGACATCCGCCCCGATGTATATATAGCCCCGGTGTATTTCTGTGAGCCGGGCCGAGCCCCTGGCCATTCCTCCGCCTTTGCAGAGGGTAGGGAATTACATGGGAAGTGAGCAGGGGTGGGCAGGTGGGTCTTTCTCAGAGAGTGGCACTCTAGCGCTGCCCGGGAGACGAGGCCCCGAATAGAGACCTCTTCAGCGCCTTCCTTTCTGACTCCAGAGCTTGGTATCTTTGTGCCTTTACCTTCTCTGAGGGTGTAGGTCTGAGAAACGCTGTTTACCAGCGTGTGCACAGGCGATACATTTAACCTCAGACTCAGGGACCACATAGCTGGGCGTCCTCAGCTCGGCATCCCTGTTGACCCTGTCACCACGAGTCTCCACCTTCAGGAGCAGCGTGATGAAGGGGATTCAGGACCATGTTGCTCGGAGGGATGCAGTGGCCTCTCCTAGGGATTGGACGGGGCGGCCTTGTGTGTCACGTGACTTCATGCTTTCTTTCCCCCCCTCCCCTTCTTTACAGACTGTCTTGAGTTCTTCTTGAATTGCCAGTGTTCGGCCTCCTCATGCCTCCGTCTCCTTTAGACGACAGGGTACTAGTGGCACTGTCCAGGCCCGTCCGGCCTCAGGATCTCAACCTTTGTTTAGACGCGAGCTACCTGGGCCCTGCCGCCCCGGGCGGTCACAGCCACCCTCCGGTCATCGCCACCACCGTCGTGTCCCTCAAGGCTGCGAACCTGACGTATATGCCCTCATCCAGCGGCTCTGCCCGCTCCCTGAATTGTGGATGCAGCAGTGCCAGCTGCTGCACTGTGGCCACCTACGACAAGGACACCCAGGCCCCGACCCCAGCCGTTGCCGCCGGCTCCACCACCACTGCCATCGGCACCTCCGGCACCTGCCCCGCCACCCAGATGGTCAACAACAATGAGAACGCAGGCTCTCTGAGTCCGTCCGGTGGGGTGGGCAGCCCTGCGGCCGGGACCCCCAAGCCGCTAGCCAGCATCAAAATCATCTACCCCAACGACCTGGCGAAGAAGATGACCCGCTGCGGCAAGAGTCACCTGGCCAGCCAGGGCCCCGTCATCATCGACTGCAGGCCCTTCATGGAGTACAACAAGAGCCACATCCAAGGAGCCGTCCACATTAACTGCGCCGACAAGATCAGCCGGCGGAGGCTCCAGCAGGGCAAAATCACCGTCTTAGACTTGATCTCCTGTCGGGAAGGCAAGGACTCTTTCAAGAGGATCTTTTCCAAAGAAATTATCGTTTATGACGAGAATACCAATGAGCCGAGCCGGGTGACGCCTTCCCAGCCACTCCACATAGTCCTGGAGTCCCTGAGGAGGGAAGGCAAGGAGCCTCTGGTGTTGAAAGGTAACGAATGCTCCCTCCCCCAACACACTCCTGACTAGCCTGGGGTCACCAGGGGTTTTCCCTCGGAGGTAGCGGCATCCGCCCGACCCTGCCTCCCCGCAAAGACCGGAATAGAAGTCCTTCTTCTTGTCCGCCCTCCCCTGCCCTTTCTTAATTAGTTTGGGGTGGTGAGAGGCATCCAGTAGCCTTGAACTGGAAGCCAGAAGATTTGGGCTCTGGTCTTGCGTCTTGCTTCCCCCACTAATTTGCATCGTGCAAGTCATTTCACCTCTCTGAGACTTTCCCCCCCTTTCCCCAAAGGGGCTTTTATAACGCCAGAGGGTGGCTCAGGTCATGCCTGGTCTGGTAGCCCTCGCCCAATCCATCTCTCGCTGGAAAGTTATTATCTCTCAGACTCGGCCCAGGTTGGTGGAACTGAGATGGTGAACTGCAAGTAAACTCCCAGGTACCAGTTCTTTTTTGTGGGAAATGCTTCTTCTTTCTCACCTCTCCCATCAGCTTGGATTTTAGGTGGTTTATACAGTGACATATAGAAGGGCAGAGATCCTTTGTATAGGGCCCTGCAGTGTAAGTTCATCAGAAACATCTGTTCCTCTGCCGTAGCTCTAAGGGACAGAGTCATTCTTATGAGATCCTCCCCCACCCCATTGCTCTCTCTGGCTGCACCTGACAGTCGTTGGCATCATGGCTCCTCCCAAGATGGGGCGGTGGGTCACTTGCCTCAGTACATTGAATGCAGAATAACTCAGAGGTCATGGTGGCTGAGCCCTGGCTGGAGGGATTAACTACCCACTATTCTCGGAGCTCCTTTCACCCAGCGTTGCCTAAGCTAGTGGGGCAGCCCTCGTCCTGTGTCCATCTTGCCTCTTTGCTCCAAGGTACCATCCTTTGGGGCACTGCACCTCATGCTTCCTCTTCAGGGTCTTCTTTCTGGTGGTGGTGATTCTAAGAGATCATCATCATCTTTCTTCTCTTCTCTTATGTCTGAGCCAAGGTACACAGACTGGGCCATATCACCAGCCAGCCTCCAGAACTGTGTGGACCAAAGGGTCCCTTTGAGCATCTTACATATTTAAATTGCAACGGGCCATTGAGGTGAGCAAGTTGGTCGTTTTGTCTTTGTGAGGGCAGCTCTGCCATTCTCCGTCTGGTCTTCCCAGCGATGCGTTCTGCCTTTGGTTCAGTACCGTTCTTGGAAATATGGTTTGGGATTCCTTTGATATAACCCGCCTGCCCACCCTCCAGGGCCCCCTCCCTGGACTCAACCACCACAAAGTCACAACTACTCTTAGGGCTGGTGGGCTCTGGTGGGAAGGATGACATCATGAAGATTGTATCTAGAGAGTTCCGGCAGCAACCACTCATTTTTTTGTTGTTGTCGTTCTTGGGTTTTCTTGGGTTTACAGGGATGTTCAGATTCCCTCTGTGTGGCTCTGTATGGTATGGCTTTATATTCTTGTTTGGTTGGCTTTGTGTGACTCCCAGTAAGTTGACCAGCTAGTGTTTTCTTACCAGGATCTTGGCTTGGCTTGTCTTTTTTGGATGAGAAAATACAACCTACACATGTCCCATTGGTGATAGTTTGTCTTGGGGAGCAGACAGAGTGGGTAGTCCATGGTCGTAACGGCCGTCTATCTGCTCATGCCGAGTAGATGTTGTTGAGAAAAAGCAGGCCTTGTGTGTCTGCAGACTCTGAGGATAGGCATCAAACCATACACACTAAGTTGACCCCAGACTTGAACTTGAGGTTGATTAGAGGAGTTGTAGATCCTCCCTTCTTCTTTGGCCGTGGGAATTATTGTGTATGGGGGTGGCTTGTCAGTCACTGAGAAATGAGTCTCCTGGGTGCTACCGATGAAGGTGGGGTTCCTCCCCCCCGTCCTGTGGATGCAGCTGAGGCTCCAGCAGCCTGGGTTGCTCCTCAGTGTCAGGGAGTGAGCTTGCCTCAATGGGCGGGGCCGGACATGCTGCTGACCTCACCACTGGGCGCCCTGGGCGGCCGCGCTGCGGGCTCGTCATTTTCGGGTTGGTGAGCCTCAGCGGCGGCGGACCTGGAAGGCGCGCTGGTGGTAGAGGTTGGATGATTTGTAGCTTTTGGGGGGCTTTTTCTTCGAATATTTGGGCATTTGCTTGAAAATCTGTAGTTCAGGAGCAAAAAGGGTCTATAATCTACTATACTTATTATTATCGTCATTATCATTTTGGTCTCTTTTGGGGGGAACGGCCTAAAATTTGGACCAAGATGGGAAAGAAGTGGGAGAGCGATACCAGGATGCCCTCGCTGCCCTTTGATCTGGGCCAACCAACGGTTAGTGCCAGAGCACCGTCGAGTGAGGAATGGGGTGGGCATCCCTCAGAAGGCATAGCCAGCACCTTCTCCCAGGCTCTCGTGCGGGTCAAGCAGACCATCCTGGCCTGGCTGCTCAGCTGAGGCTTATTGTACTAACCCCAGCCCTTGGTGATGCAAGATTTTATTTTAGCAAGAGTGGTCGTGGGACCATTTTTGAACGAGTGAGTGTTGTAGGGAAGCCATGGTGATGGGTAGTGAGAATCTTCTAGGGGAGAAATTTCTAAGGCCTCCTTCATGCATTTTCAGAGATTTCAGTACAGTCGCGGGTAATTTATGGCCGGCCCACCTGCTGCCCTGGTGTTATGTTTGTAAACACTGGTTGCTACCCGCCCCGTCCAAGTGTCATGTCCCCCGTGCCAGTGCCACGGTCTCCATTTTTGGAGCTGCCTGACAAGTGGAGCGGCTGCTCGGGGACCGTTTTAGTCATGCTGTGTCAGGTCGGGAAGAGAGTGATCAGAGCCGCAGATTAAGTTACTGCTCTAATTGACAGTCCCCTCCCCACCGTGACCTGTGTCTGAATCCATGGTTTAGTCTCAGCTTCCGAAGAAAACACGGCTTCTACCCAGCCCGGAGAAAGGAAGAGATATTTAGGGATTTGCACAATCTTTGAACGAAGTATAATTTGTTTTATCCACACGTGATGCTGAATGTGATTTCTAACCACACCGGATCAGAAGGCTAGACCAGTGGTCGGCAAACTCATTAGTCAACAGAACCAAACATCAACAGTACAACGATTGAAATTTCTTTTGAGAGCCAAATTTTGCAAACTTAAACTATATAGGTAGGTACATTGTTATTAACTTAATTAGGGCGCTCCTAAGGCTTAGGAAGAGCCACACTCAAGGGGCCAAAGAGCCACATGTGGCTCGCGAGCCGCAGTTTGCCGACCACGGGGCTAGACCATCCTGGGCCTCCCAGGATGAGAGCTACCATCATTGCTATGGTGTTTGTCAGGCTCCTGATGTTGGGTTTAGGGAAATAATTTGTCATTTGCCTAAAGAGGCATCGCCACCTCCTCCTTAAAAACAGTCTACGCCTTTAAAATTCTTACTACACAAAATTTCAAATATGGAGAAAAGTAGGAAAGAGTGGAGTGAGCACCCATATACCTGTCACCAGATTTTAAACAATTAGTACTATTTTCCTTCTCTTTTTTTTTCTTTTGTTGAAAACATGTATAGAACAGACAATATTTTAATGTAGTTAAACATGTTTTATGTTTAAACCTAATGTTTTAAAATCAATAAGGCTGGGCTATTTGATAGTAGAGTACGGACAACATTGTTACTCAATACTGCAGTGTCACGTGACCATTTGGGGGAAGTTTTCCAAACTTGTAACTTCTGCTGTGACTCTCAGGCGGCCAGGGCCAAGGAGAAGCAGCCCTCCCTCTGAGTGGAGGGCTCCGGGCGGAAACTGGGGGTCCCCAGCTCCCCGTTCTGCTCAGCTATGTCGGGTCCATGCCTGTACTTGCTCTGGGCTCTCACAAAACAAAGACTGACTCAGAGGCATTTATTGGGGAGCAGGGGGAGGAGAGAGAGTTACTTCAGGAGATCGTTACCTAGAGAAGATTGGGGTAACATAGGGGGGTAGACTCTCACACTGTCAGACTTCCCTCCCTAACCCCTAAGAAGTGAGCAGCATCGACTGCACGTCCGTCCATGGTCAACAAGGGTTCTGAAGTAAACCGGTGGGCGGTGAGCGGGATCGCAAGATCCAGAGTGGCTGCACTCAGAGACCAGAAACCCGGGAGCATATTCTTTCTCTCTCAGCTTTGTTTAGTGGGGAGGGGGTACACGATTTCCTTTTGTCTCTCGGGGATGTTATGAGGACGTTTCCAGAATCACAAACGCGCTGTTGTCATTCGGAACCTCTGTTTAACACCCGAACATGGCTAACATGAGCCCTGGAGCCAGGAGTGGGGGAATTCAGGCCGGACTTGGGATCTGGTTTGAGTTGAGTCTTGATCTCCTCCC